ACTTTCTCTTCTTTCCCTTATAATTTTATTCTTTCTATTCTGCCTTTCCTGGTGGTAAGGCAGGGCTTTCTTAGTTTTCATGTACAACTTTCACTTCTGGGTTTTAATTGTACAGAAATACATAATTTTATTTGCAATCTCAAAACACTTTTATCAGTGGCAAATAGAAAAACTGATGTCTCAAAGCCTTTCATTAAACTGTAGTGAGAAAGATGGAAAGCCCTTCAGTTTGGTTTTGTGGCTGACATGTTTTTGCCTAGCCCCAAACATTTTTTGAAAATATATAACTCTTACTCCTTTTTGCCTCCCACTAACTTCAGATTTTAGTACCACGGCTGCTAATGTTGTCCAGTTTCCACATTGGCATGTTGGAGTCATCTTTAAAGTTTTTTATATATCACACAAATAAAAAGAATAAGCTTTTCCATTGGGCAGGAAAATTATGTGTAAATACATAAGACAGTGGCTACTTAGGTATTTTACACAGATATGGATGACTATACAACTTACATGTAAAAAAAATGTATATGAATATGTCAGAACATGTAAAGAAAATTACTTAGCATAGCATTCAAGGCCTTCCACATCTTGTACCTATATGCACTTCTAGTCCTATTTCACAATAATTCCTCTTTTGTAGTCTGCATTATACAGAGGATGGCAAGATCCAACCCAGTGGTTTGCAAAGCAGAAGTGGCAAACTGTGATTATCAATAGCTAGTTGATGTCAGACATTTGATTGTGTTACTTGGTACATGGCCAGACAACATTAACACCAGACAAATGTGTCTATTTTACGTTGGATTCCCCTGAAAGCACATCTGAGACCAGAGCTTCAGTTCAGGTAGTTTATTTGGGAGGCAATTCCAAGAAGCAAGTGTAAGAGAACATGAAGTGTGAGAGAACAGGCAGGAATGGATGAATAAAACCTACTGAGGTTGCCACTGTAGGTGAAAGGAGCTTAAGAACCTCTGAGGGACGGAGTGTCTCCCAGAACTGTCTGAGCAATAGATGGAAGCTGGGAATGCTATCCACTAGTTCTCAGCCCCCGTGGCTGGGGGCTGCTCCCAGTGCTGCGCATCTCCAGAACTTCCTGGCCATTAGTGCTTTAGGGTGAGAACCTCAGAGACTTGGAGCAGGCCCTGAGAAGGAATAACCAAGAGAAGCATGGAAGCAGTCGAGGGGGCATGTCTTCAGAGGACATGGGACAGTTCTCACAGCAAAAGCTGAAATCAGAGGCTGGTCCAGTGGATAAGATATAAAGCACCAAGAGCCTCTGATGTAGTCCATAATCCTAGCTATGAAAGTGATGGTAAATGATCAGGAATCAGCAAGATAGGCAATCTGGTGAGAAAATTGAGGGTTGTTGAATTAATTGTGCTGTTGGTTGTTTACATGGGTTAAGATGCTTTCAAAAGGAAAGCTATCTCTCTGCCTCCTGACTGTGTGGTCTCTCTCAAAGGCATCACTTATGTCCCACACAGGTCATCAATTTCTGCATATTTCCTTCTGTCATCTTTTAACCTTTTTGTCTTATTTTTTTCTTTCTACCTGAAATGCTTTCCATTACCTGTATTGTACCTAATGAGACCCTATTTCAATCTTCATTCTACCAGAGTTCTAGTCACATTAGATACTTGTGATGTCTTCAGGATCCCTCCATTTTCTTTGCTTATGATAGCTTCTATTCCTAGAATGCTTTTTCCCACCTCCCAGTATTGACCCTTAACATCCTATTAACATCCCTTTTAAAATGGGATACATGCATCTCATTCCTACAGAAGTCTTCTTAACCATGACAATAAGAGTAATTGCTTCTTATTTGTTTGCATTTCTTTTAAGATACTCATCAAACTCTTTGTACATCTCTCACTCCCTAATAGTTACCCTGTCTTTGTCATTTTGGCATTCCCCAGGTTGCCTAGAGTGGTGCCCTGCCCTTACAGAGAAGGCTTAAAATGCATTTGTTAAATTGAATGAATATATAAATACAGAAAAGAACATTCATTTTGCTCATTATATTTGACATTATACTATGTCAGCTAATTTCAGCCCATTTTCAAACACAATTTTGAAAACATTGGCATAGAACTTACTTGAAAGCTCATTTTCCAGTCCCTTCTGTCTTGTCCTACTGAACATAATATCACACCTCTTTGCTACACTTTTTCTCATTTACTGTGTTATATAGTTAGCAACATGCTTTTGAAAAAAGCAAAAATATGTGTTCCTGATTTGGTTTAATTTTTAAAACATTTATTTAGCTAAAGAACTTATTTATTCTTTAATTAATAGTGAATTGGGCCTCACCTTTGACTATGTTTCAACCTGTATGTATGAGATGGAGGACTGAATGAATGGCAGGGAAATATATTTGAAAACCTTGAATGAGTAATAAAAAAAAGGAGAGGTCACTAAATACCATTAAAATGAAGGGAAGACAAGAAGTAACATCACAGAGGGGAGATGTGCAGACATAGCAATGTATCCAGTGCTAGAAAAAAACTACTGTAATTATTCAAGTAATTACAAAGATTGGCACAATATGAGGCAATGGGTATTCTTTCTCTAGACTTTGTACAGTGATAAATCAAAATTATTCTTTTAGGAGCACATGAGGATCATTTGACTTTATATAGTCTCTGGGTATAACTGTAGATGGAAACATATATCAAAGTGTTTTTATATGAGAAACAATTCCTCTTTAAACCTATATCTCAATGCAATTAATACAAAGTCTTGCTTTTTTATGTCAAAATCATATTACTAGAAATGTGAATTTATTTTTACTGTTGCTATTTCCTTGTCCTCTATTTACTCTGTAAACCACAGCAATAGGACTTCTGCTCCCACTATTTCTCTTAAACTGCTCTGAGTTTATCTGAGTGGTCAAATCCAATAGACAAGTCTTGGTTCTTTTTATTTATCTTTAAAATTAGGCTCTGAAACCTACTATTTTCTTAGAATTTCTTTGCTATCAGTCCTAGTTTTCCTTTATTGTAATATGTAATGACTCTTATTCCTCCACTAGATTATAAGTGATGGTATATTTCTGTCTTGACATTTCTCACAATACCTTGCTCTTGGTAGAAAAGTAAGGAAATGGTCTTCTGAAGTGTGTGTCGAATTGAATTAAATCAAATACATAGGAAAGAATATTCAGTAAGTCCATTATATGGGTATTATAAGAACATTTGGTATGACAAATTCATCTGGAGAGCACCGACAGAGATTTCTCTGAAATTCTCTCAGTTGTCTGTCATTTGCTCTGTTTGTTTCTGCTATTACTTCAATTTCTTTTAAGGTACTACTCCTCTATCTGCATGACTCCCAGAAATGGTAGTATTTCTTAAGATTTCATTCTTGGACATCTCCTCCACGTGCATCTCCCTCTGTGTGGCCCTGTTTACCTCCGTTACTTGAATTACCTCCTGTGTGCATGCTAGCTTTCAGTCACATGTCTCTAGTGTGGATCTCCTCCTAGTTCTCCTTCTGGGTGTCCCGGTGACAAATGAAAGACGAGGATAAAGGGGAGGGACAGTGACTGAAAACTGCTTACCAGCTTCCTACGAACCACTCCATCCTGAGATTTCTTTAACTTTTCTCTTTTATATCTGGAACTAACACAACCTGTAGTTCCCAGCTCAAGCCCTAACTTAGGATCTCTTGCTAACTTCCCTGGTTCATTCTTTATTGACATCAAAGACGTTGTTCATTCACTCAAGGTCTTTCCTTGCTTTTAAACCACTTAGACCTCTATGTCTTGTCCTCGTGAGTGCTCAGTAATACTGATTAGTTTCCATTAGTGATTTGCCTTTCTTCATGCTAAGCAAAATCTTTCCTTGTGAAATCTTCCTACAGCATTTGTGAAATTGCTGGTAGCCCAAAAATATCACAGCTCTTCAGAGCAAGCTCTACCATGTTAGGCACAGGTATTTTTCTCCCTGAAATCCATAATTATTGTGGATTTAGTATCCTATAATTATTATTGGAAGAGAGTTCTTTTTTCATGCAGCTACATCATTCAATCACTTGAAAATGTATTATCAATTTTCATGTAATCCAAAACTAGGATAAGTGCCAATTGGTTTTAAAAAATAATATCCTAAAATAAAATTTTCACAGGAGGCAAATTACAAATTTCCTGTCTGATAGCTATTCATGTCCTTGTTTTACTGTATAGAGATTATTAAATTAAATTAGTAGATTTATCAAAAAAACTTTGTGGCCATTCATAGTCATGGACATTGTTAATGAAACATTTCAAGATATTGTGATCCATAAGACCTCCATATTATATAAATACATGTATTAATTTCCTAATGCAGTTCTAAATTTCAGAAAATATCTGCTCAGTAGAGTAATTGCCTGATCGTCATTTATACGTTTATACATAATCTAATTTAAAAGAACTAATTGTGGCAGAATGTTATACTTGTTTAATAATTTAAGGTGTGAGGGCAAGAACAATTAATGCAAATGGAGAAAATTGGACATCACACTCACTTATTAATCTCTTTGCTCTATTAATCTGTTAGCAACTGGCTTAATCAGTGATCTAACTTGGTTTAATTACCATGAAGTCTACAATTTAGCTAATCAGAATTTATCATCTGTTCCTTCAACAAGGTAGAAAATATTTCATAATTTTATAATTATGAAAATACATGATGTACACATGCATAAACATTATAATAGTGCAATTTCTTTGGGGGAAAAATCGAGAATTATCACTTACAATCTGACCTCTGGGCTAAGTACAACTTAAGAAACAGTTCATGATTTTTGAGAGCAAACAAGCTATTGCTTGATGATTTTTTCTTGGATATTTTGCTGTTTTAGCTTTGCAAGTGACATTCATACTCAGTCTTAAATATTATTACTTTAGAGATTGTGCAGAAAATATTAAAATGAATTATATAACTACTGAGATTGTAAAAGTAGGAAGTAATATGGACTAGTTTCTGAAAAATAATTATTTTTTTAAAATTTCTCTTCAGCTCCGTAAGGCTATTATAGATCATGTGTCAGACTCTTTTTTGGATACGACAGTCCCACTTTTGGTTCTCATTGAAGCTGCCAAGAATGGTCGGGAAAAAGAAATAAAAGAATATGCTGCGATATTTCGTGAACACACCAGCAGGCTTGTAGAGGTAAGCATTCTCTGACTGTCATTACTCTAAATCCAGGAGAATGAGGCTCTCATTCCCCATTCACAGTTGAAATGTGCTCAAAAGCATTGACAACTTATTACAAGTGAAGCAGATTTGGGCCAAGGTAATATGAAGGTATAGATGTCAAATTGTATAAACCATCCACCCATTGGCTTGGAAAAGGAACAATTTATTTAGAAAGAACAGTGAAACTGTGATCAATTCTGGTTTATTTTAATGCATATTTTTTTCAGAGCCTCCTCCCCCTCCAGAAAACTGATTAAATGCTAATACTTTGTCTTATCCTTACAAATATTTTCTTTCTATTCTAACTTTAAGGTATCAAATACTCTATCTCATGCCATTTTATTGTTTCTTTACCATCTTTTCATGGCTATGTTACTCCTTCAGCCTTTCAAGTCCTATTTGACTATATAATATGATTCTAGAACAAGGATGTAGTATATACAAATATAGAGAGACCTAGATTAATTAAGTGGGGGTAGTGAATTGCTCCATGTCCCAGTAGGGGCAAGAGGAGATGATAAAACTGTCATTTCTTACTGTTCGGAAACTAGAAACATGGAAATGCTCTGTGATTTGAGGGCAAGGTGACATATTGCTGAAGGAGCTATGAAGTGCTGGACGATTCCCAGGAGACAGATAATGGGACCTATTGTATTAATGGACATCAAAAGTGCAACCAGTATAAGAGACAACCTGAGTGTAAGAATTTCTAACACAAGTAAGGTGATAGTACTCACTGTGCCAGGAACCAGTTACAGAAAGGGGGAAATTTGATTGACCAGAGCTGATATACTGCTGGTATCCATTGGTTTGATTGTACCAGTTATTTCTGCTAGCCTATTTTCATTGTCAGTGCCCCTTTCTACTGATCATTAAATGTTTTGACTGCTACTCCTTCCTATACTGGCCATAAACTTAATGAATATATTAATACAAATTATGTATTTGGTGGCCCAAATTACTTGTAAAACTTGTGAGTTAGAGATAGTCACCACCTGAATTAGAATTGCAGTGTTTGATATATCTACTAAAATTGAGGACTTTCCCAACATTGCTGATGTGGATCTACTGTGTAGCTAGCATTTGTATACTCTCTGGATCCTAGTTTCCACATCTAGAAAATCAAAGAAATGGAGAAATAGATGACTGCTAAGATCATTTCAGCTATAAAACTGATCCACCTCCAACTTTGAAATCTTTGAGCATCTGAAGAACTCTGTGAGACAGGACAACTCATAAAATTTCCATTGACCTTATATGGCAATAAAGGTATAAAACCCAAACCAGGCTAGTTGGAGTCAGAGCTGATTAGCAGGTTTAAAATTTTTAACTAATTCATTCAATTATTTTTATTATTTATCTAATTTTATTTTTTTACTATACTCATTTCTCAAATATTTATTAACTATCCCCACAGGATAATGTTAAAAATAAAAGAACAAAACAGAGGCAGCAGGACATTAAAATACCTAAGGGTAGCCCTTGACAGTCATAAAAGTTTTGCCTAAAAATGTGTTCTCTATGCTGAAGGCACAACAAATTATAACAACATCTTTTTGGTGAAATACTGTGGAAGTAAAAGCTGGTTTCTGCTAATAAAGTTGTATCCTTATTCCTATTTCTCAGTTTAATGTTTCTATGAAACATACATTTCACAAGGTGCTCAATAAAGGTCTCCTTGATCATACAATTTTGGGAAAAATGTAGCTATATCTCCTCCTGGATTTTACATTTTTGAAAAATCCAGAGATAAAGAGACCTCTTTAAGTCAGAATTTTTTCAAATCAGTTTGCCTAAGGAATTCTTTCTTTCAATGAGGTACTGCCCTCAATGAATACTTGAGAATGCTACCTTTATTACCAAATAATGGTTTTATTATTTATTATTTATTGTTAGGTAGACAGAGCTCTAAGAATCTGTTTTAAATGTTTAAGGATTTTGAAAATTCTGCATTTCATGTTAACATTGAAAGAATGATTTTGGAATTTTGAGGGCCTGGAGGACTAAGAATAGGTCTTATTTAACTCTGTATATGCCCTTAACACATCCCAACACGGTTATGCTTTGGAGTCCTCTAGCGCCCACTCTGGTATTACTTAGAAAATTTCAGTTCCAATTAACTTTTATCACATAACAAACCATCCCCAAACTTAGTGGCTTAAAACAACCATTTGTTATTTTCTCACTGATTTGTGGGATGACTTCTGGGAAAAGCTGGGCAGTTCTCACTTAGGGTTTCTTATGTAATTGCTGTCAAATATTGGCTGGAGATGGAGCCCTCCAAAGGTTTCACTAGTCTGTACATACAAGATGGCAATTTTACATACGGAGAGTGCATGTTAGCTGTCAGCTGGGAGTTTAGCTGTGGTCATTGACTGAAAATACCCAGCCTCTCCATGTGGCTTCAGCTTCTCACAGCAGAGTTGATGGAATTCTGAGATGAGAAGTCCTAAGAGCAAGCCAGAGATGGGAAATAGAAGCTGTAATTCTCTTCAGTCCTGGGCCCAGAAATTGGCAGGGCACTCCTTCCTTCCACTATAGTATTTTATTGGTGAAAGAATCACAGAGCCTGCTTAAACGCAAGGGGGGCTGGGGAAAGGAGGTGAGGCACGAGACTCCACCTCTCAGTGGAGGGAATAGCAAAGCATTCATGGCCACCTTTAAACTACTAGTCTTCTATGCTGCTCAGGGCTCATTTGCTTTATCTATAAATTGAAGGTTAAATGATATAACATCTAAGCCTACTACCAGTTTCTAAGATTCTGTGATCCAACAGATATTTTTTACAATTGAGAGACTTGTAGTTTTCTAAGAGATACAGACATAAGAGAAAATGAAAATGGTTTTTAAGTGTACTGCTTGTACAGTATATATCAAGAAAGGAAAAAAAAAAGGAGTACCTCATTTATCTCCCAGGAAAATTCTTTTTTGAAAGGAGCTGTCTAACCAAAGCAGCAGAGGAAAATCATCATTAATTTACATTGAGACAGAAATGCATGTGATACAGTCTGGGAAAATAGCAGAGCTTAAATATATATCAGTTTCAGAGGACCCTGTGAATTCACTTTGTATAGACTGCTTACCAATCCTCCAACCTTCCTTCTCCCTACCACCCAACATAGACATACACATATAACCATCTTATTCCCAAGCTGGGTAATTTGACATAGTAGGGCAAAAAAGTCTTAGATTCTAAATGACTTCAAGAAAAAGCTATTTTCAACATGTGCTGGGTTTTGTGTTCAACCATGTTTGTCAGAGAAATCTAAAATCAGTGAACTTGTTGAAGTAAGACTTAAATGGGAAAAAAAAGTCCATTTTTAAAGAATTCCTATCAGATCTTCGAAGAAAAACTGTATGCTGTTAAAAGAACACTTTAGATAATGGTTAACTTGGAACTTTTACAAAAAAATATAGTAAAAATTGTAACTGAACACGAAGCATTAAAAAGTTCTGTGGGTAATATAATTAGAAAACCAAAAGGATCTGACTACGGAGAAAAGAAGTGGGAATGAGGAACAGAATGGCTAGGAAGTCAGACCTGCATATATCCCCATTCTCCAGAGGAGTTGTGTCTGAGATCTTCTGTCATGTTACCAGATAGGTTGGTATAAAATGGCCAAGGGTGAAATGGTGTTGTAGAATCTGCATAGTGCTGGTAACTGGAGAACCTTGATTGTTGTGGTTCATTTTTTTTCTCAGTTATACTGAACTAAGTGACTATTATGCAAAGCTTTTCCTACTTTGAACATCCAAGTTACTCTGTGTTCTTTGATCCACCAAACCACAGTGCAAATAAGAAGTCAAGAGGTTGACATTTTAAAAATCATCTTCACGTAGTGATCAGCAATTAATGGCAAATATGCTCATTGAATTATGTTCCCCTGTACTTTGATCTTGCACTGATAGTGACTTAGGGCACCATTAACTCCACTGGCTTCCACCAATAATATCTATTAAATAGGAAGTTAAAAATATTAATCTTTATCTTAACAAATATTCTAGAGAGTAATGATTTTATCTTCCATTGCTTTGAGCATCCTCTAAAAGCAGTCTGTATAGTTAGTGCTCAATAAATCTGTATTGAATGAAGGAGCACATTCCTAACACCACCTCAGCCTCAGTTCTCTTTCTCTCTCAAAAGTTGACTTTGGGGATTTCAGTAGCTGGACTTGAGATATATGCCTGAGAGCAATTATTTAGTAGAGTACCTCCTAGCTCTACTGTACATGGACGCTTTAAAATAATTTTTCATAGAGATGTTAGCAAATGCCTATGCCATTAATTATTGAATGCACACATTATAAACCCTGCTCCAGATCTCCCTCAGGAAGTTTGTGACAATTTGATGACACTTTTAAATAACTTTGTCTACTTCAGAGATAAAGCTTGTAACTTTAAATTGGTACTCAGAAGAATGTCCATTGTATTCAATAAACACATTGTTTATTATAATGGCTATATTTACTATTCCTCTAAAAATCATTTTAAAGCTCCACTAGTATTTTGGACCATATTACATTTTTTTCTCAGCAAATCGGTTCATGCTGAACACTGCAGTTGCTACCCAGTAAAACGGTAAAATCTCCAGTTTATCCCATGGGTTTTACCATATTAATTACCATTAAGCATGACAGTGTTAATGATCTAGGCTTGAAAATTTTCTATGAATAAGAGAAGTTTCTCTATGTGAATAGCCAGCTTCATCAGTGCTTTGACTTACTCATCAAAATTTCATCTGTCTTGACGTACCTTATTTTAGTAAGTTTCATGGGAGCCTTTCATCAAAAAGGAAAAGTGGGTGGACATTTAATTATAATACTTCCCTCCAACCCACAGAGCTGATTGTTCCCACTCACAAAATGGTGAAGCAGATTTAGCAAAGCCCCAGTGCCAAGAGAGAAGGCTGTGGGGGGGACTCTTGCTGTTTGCAAGAATTGCTCATTGCTATCATCTCTACTAATATGTCCTCT